TGGGGCTGCAAGAGAACTCTGGGGATCCCAGAAGCTCTGAGGGAGAAATTTGGGGGCTCTGAGGGAGAAATTTGGGGGCTCTGAGGAGAGTGGAAGCTGTGAGGGCAAACAATGAGGGGAATTTGGGGTTCAGGAAGGAGCCAGGTGGGAAATTGGAAATGTGGGGGCTGTAAAGGGAAATCTGGGGGTAAAATTTGGGGTCTGGGGGAGCAGCTGGGGGTGTGCAAGGGAAATGTGGGGGCACAAATGGGGCTGCAGGAGAACTTTGGGGATCCCAGAAGCTCTGAGGGAGAAATTTGGGGGCTCTGAGGAGAGCACTGGGGGCCCCAGGAGCTGTGAGGGAGAAATTTGGGGGCACAAATGGGGGTGCAGGAGAACATTTGGGATCCCAGAAGCTCTGAGGGAGAAATTTGGGGGCTCTGAGGGGAGCACTGGGAGCTCTAGGGGAGCTGAGAGGGAGAAATTTGGGGGCACAAATGGGGGTGCAAGAGAGCATTGGGTGCTCTAGGGGAGAAATTTGGGGTCACAGGTGGGGCTGCACAACACTGGGAGCCACAAGAGCTCTGGGGGAGCTCTGAGGGAGAAATTTGGGGGTACAGGAGGGGCTGCAGGAGAACAATGGGGAGCCCAGAAGCTCTGGGGGAGAAATTTGGGGGCTCTGAGGAGAACATTGGGGGCCCCAGGAGCTGTGAAGGAGAAATTTGGGGACACATATGGGGGTGAGGGGAACATTGGGGACCCCAGGAGCTCTGAGGGAGAAATTTGGGGGCACAAATGGGGGTGCAAGAGAACACTGGGTGCTCTAGGGGAGAAATTTGGGGGCACAGGTGGGGCTGCAGAATACTGGGAGCCACAGGAGCTGTGAGGGAGAAATTTGGGGGCACAAATGGGGGTGCAGGGGAACATTGGGGATCCCAGAAGCTCTGAGGGAGAAATTTGGAGGCTCTGAGGAGAGCACTGGGAGCTCTGGGGGAGAAATTTAGGAGCACAGGTGGGGCTGCAGGAGAACATTGGGGGCCACAGAAGCCCCCAGTGAAGCTCCCGATTTCTGAGGGAGAAATTTGGGGGCTCTGAGGAGAGCACTGGGAGCTCTGGGGGAGCTGTGAGGGAGAAATTTGGGAGCACAAATGGGGCTGCAGAAGAACTCTGGGGACCCCAGGAGCTGTGAGGGAGAAATTTAGGGGCGCTGGTGAGGCTGCAGGAGAACACTGAGAGATCTGGAGAAGAAATTTGGGAGCACAAATGGGGCTGCAGAAGAACTCTGGGGACCCCAGGAGCTCTGAGGGAGAAATCTGGGGGCACACGTGGGGCTGCACAAAAGCTCAGAGGGGCCCTGGCGCTCTGAGGGCACACCGGGACCCTCAGCGGCTCTGAAACCCCACCGAGCTACTCCGGACGCGCCCGGGAGCGCCATGGGAAGCTCCGTGAGGGCTCCCTGAGCCCGCGGGGCTCTGAGGGGCTGCGGGCGAGGCCGCAGCGCGGGAGCCGCCCCCATCCCCGCGGCGGGGCGGGGCGAACCGCGGGGCTCTCCCGCGCTCCGCGCTCCGCTCCCCGCCGGCTGCCGGGCGGGTTCCCCCCCTCAGCCCGTTCCGCCCGTTCCCTCCCCGGCCGCGCTGCCCCCGGCCCGGCCGCCCTCACCCATCGCCGGCCGCCGCTCCGCCTGCGCCGGGCACAATATGGCGGGCGGGGCGCGACGGCGGCCGGCGTGGGACAAGCTGGTGCGGGGCGCGAACGCGCGGAAAGCCACGCCCCCTCGGTGTGTGGCCACGCCCAGCGGGCAGCGCGGTGTCACCTCCCGGCGTCGCCTCCCGGTGTCACCACCCGGTGTCACCGATGGGAACGGCGGCAATCGCAGCCGCCAGATGTCCCGGCAACCCGTTATGGCAAGGGATGAGTAATCCCTGGCACCTGCGCGGCTCCACCTCCGCTCCTGGAGGGGTTTTAGCATCTCTGCAATTTTTGGGGTTTTTTTACCCCAATTATTTGTTGGGATTTTGTGGGGTTTGGTGGTTCAGCACTGATGGTTACACAAAGATGAGAGGCAGCCCTGCCTAGGGTAGGGAAAATCGGTCCTGGAATGAATAGATTTGCACAAAGACAAAGTTTGCTGAATTTTTGGTATTTATTTTTTTGGCTGGTTTGGAGTGCCCAGCCCTGGAGGTGTCCAAGGAGTGACTGGTCACAGAGCTTGGAGGGCTTTTCCAGCTTAAATTGATTCTGGGATTGTGCAAAAACATCAAAAATCAAGAGTGGTCACACACCTGATGTTTAAGAGAATCCTCTAAAGGTACCAGGATATCCCTAAAAACCCAGTCAGGCCAAAAAATGTATTTGGAATGTGATGGATGAATGTTTTTTGGTCCAAAATCAGCGGTGAAATTCCAAATTCAGCAGTAAAATGAACACCTCCATCGGGAAACAGTTTATATTTCAGTTTTCCAACAGGCAGCTGGAGATCCAGGGGAGTTCCCAGGATCCAAGGGAGGCTCTGGCGTTCTCCAACACTCCCAAAAAAAACCTGGCAGATTCCCATTTTCCACTCACAGCAAACAGAGCTTGAACCGATCCTCTGGAATCAGCTCCCTCTTGGCAAAAGGAGCAAAAGGAGCGTGGAAAAACATTCCCATGGGAACATATGGAGGGCTCAGCTGAGCTGTGCTCACACCAGGGAGATTCCTGAGGGGAAAAATGAGGGAAAAACATCTCCATGCCAGCTGGGAGCCCCATGGACACTGCCCAGCCCGCAGGAATTCCTCCCCCTCACCACCCACGGCTCATCCGAGGGGCTGGAGGTTGATCCATGGAGGAGAAATTCCCTGATCCATGAGGGAGGAATTTCCTTATCCATGAGGGAGGAATTCCTTGATCCATGAGGGAGAAACTCCCAGATCTATGGAGAAATTCCATGATCCATGAGGGAGAAATTCCCTGATCCATGGAGGAAAAATTCCCTTATCCATGAAGGAAAAATTCCCTTATCCATGGAGGAATTCCCTTATCCATGGAAGAATTTCCCTGATCCATGGAGGAGGAATTCCCTGATCCATGAGGGAGGAATTTCCTGATCCATGAGGGAGGAATTTCCTGATCCATGAGGAAGAAATTCCCTGATCCATGGAGGAGGAATTCCCTGATTCATGAGGGTGAATTTCCCTGATCTGTAAGGGAGAAATTCCCAGATCCATGGAGAAGAAATTTCCTGATCCATGAGGGAAGAATTCCTTGATCCATGGGGGAATTCCCTTATCCATGGAGGAAAAATTCCCTGATCCATGAGGGAGGAATTCCCTCATCCATGGAGGAGAAATTCCCTGATTCATGGAGAAAGAATTCCCTGATCCATGAGGGAGAATTTCCCTGATTCATGAGGGAGAAATTCCCTCATCCATGGAGGAGAAATTCCCTAATCCATGAGGGAGAAATTCCCAGATCCATGAGGGAGGAATTCTCTGAATCATGAGGGAGGAATTCCCAGATCCATGAAGGAGAAATTCCCTGATCCATCAGGGAGAAATTCCCTCATCCATGGAGGAGAAATTCCCTGATCCATGAGGGAGGAACTCCCAGATGTATGGAGGAGAAATTTCCTGATCCATGGAGAAATTGCCTCATCCATGAGGGAGAAATTCCCAGATTCATGGAGAAGAAATTTCCTGATCCATGAGGGAGGAATTCCCTGATCCACGAAGGAAAATTTCCCTGATCCATCAGGGAGAAATCCCCTCATCCATGAGGGAGGAATATCCAGATCCATGAAGGAGAAATTCCCTGATCCATCAGGGAGAAATTCCCTGATCCATGGAGGAGAAATTCCCTTATCCACAGTGGAGAAATTCCCTGATTCTTGGAGGAATTCCCTGATCCATGAGGGAGAAATTCCCTGATCCATGGAGAAGGAATTCCCTGATCCATGAGGGAGAAATTCCCTGATCCATGGAGAAGGAATTCCCTGATCCATGAGGGAGAAATTCCCTGAGAAACTTTCCTCCCCAAAAGCTCCAGCTGGAGCCTTCCCTGCTCTCCTCCTCCTCCTCCAGGGTCTCTCCAGGCTGCTGGAATCCCCCTGATCCCAAATTTTCTTTGGGATAGCAGCAGGAGGGATTAAGGAGGTAAAAATGCACATTTTTTTCTTGGCTCTGCTCGTGGCAGATGCTCTCATCTAAAATTCAAATTTGTTCAGATCTGGACAGGGAATCCAGCTGTGCTCTCCAGCTCTGCTGATCCAAGCTGGAATTTTGGGGGTAAAATATCAAACCAGCGTGCTTTCAGTGAGGCTGGGAGATAAAAAAATCCCAGAAAAGCTGTGAAATTCCCATCCCTGGAGTGCTGGGATAGTGGAAGCGGCCCTGCCATGGGACTGCAGCAGCTTTGAGGTCCCTCCCACCCCAGAGCATTCCCTAAATCCATAATTCCATAAAATAAGCTCGGAGCCACTGGTTTTATTGAAATGATGCAAACAGAAAATGGAAAGCAGGGGTAAGGAAGGGGCAGGGGATGAGGCTCCTTCCAGGAAAAGCTGCTGGGGACACCTCTGGAATTCCAGCTGCAGCGTTTTCCTTGGATTCACTCCCCACAAAGGACAAAATGCAGCTTTGGGCCCAGCTCAGAGCAAGGCCAGGCTGGGGTTTTACACTGGAGCTGTTCCCACCCAGGGAAAAGGCGAAATGAAATTTCACCACGAAATTTTCTAAAAAAATCCCTTTGCCAGGATTTTTCTCCTGAGAAGCCTCGGAAAAAATATAAACAATAATCATCTGATTGCTTAGAATGTAGTCTGGAAGTTACCAACAAGTGCATCTTTGATTAGTTCCATGTTAATTTTTTTTTTAATTAATATCAATCTCAGCCAGCTGTGTCAGACTCTGGTCAGTCACGAGTTTTTATTATCATTCTTGTTTAAAATCTTCTGATGTCTCTTTTTCTTTAGTTTTAATATATAATTTAGTTTGAATATATAGTTTTAATATATAATTTATATTTATAATTTATATATATATATATAGTTTTAATATATAATTTTTAAAATAGAATATCATAAAATAATAAATCAGCCTTCTGAAAACACGGAGTCAAATTCCAATTTCTCACCTCACAAACACCACAACAGCCTGGGAATGCTGAGCCATGGAGCAGGGGGGTGTTCCCAGCCTGACAAAACCAGGATTTTATTGGGAAACACTTCCAGAGATGTGAACAGAGCCAAGAACAATGGGGGGATTCTCTTTGGAATGGAATCTTGCCCAAAATCCTACAAAAATAACAAGATGTGGATGGGAAAACAGGGAGAGGAAAAAAATCCCTGGCACTTGGGAGCAGAATTCCAAAAAAAATCCAAAGTTTGGGAAGCACAGAACCTTCCAGATTTCTCTGTGATTCCATGAAATTCCTGCATCCCAAGGCACAAATCCCATCCCAAAAATTCCCTTAAAATCCCCCAAAAACTCAGCTCAGGAGCCTCCTCCACGCTGTGACCTCAGGGAAGCAGCTTCCCCCCTTTTTATTTTTTTGGTGTGGATCCAAGGGAAAAAAATTGGAATTTAGCAGCTCAGATGGCGCCACCCCCACGCTGGGAACTCAACAAGGGGCTGTAAAAAAATCCCCCAAAATTCAAAACTCACCCAGCTGGTGCCGGCCCTGCTCTTCCTCCTCCTCCTGTTGAGTCACAGCCCCGAATTCCTGCAAATCAAAGGAAAAAATTGTGAGGATCCTCATAAAAGGATGGAAGAAAATAATTAAAAATAAAATAAAAAGAGGGAAAAGAAAGAGAGAGATTCCTGCATGCAATTACACATGAAGGAAAAACATGCAACTTCAGCTGAGCTATGGACATTCCACAGGAAACAGCAATTCTGGGGGGGCTAAAAATTGAGATTTTCAAACAACTGAGCAGAATTTGGGTTTGGTTTTTTTTGTTGTTTTGGCAGTAGCAGGACTAGCTTGGATTCACGTTCATTTAACATCTTTTATCCTTTCAAAATGCAGGATATTTAAAGATCCCTTTTGGCCCACATTCCATCCCAGTGCATCTGCCAAGGGCACGTTATTAAAAGTTATTGCTAATTTATGCCACGTGGGTTGGTTTAAATGTTTATATTTAAAACATCTCTTTTTTTTTGTTGTTTTTTTGGGTTTTTTTTTTCCCCTTTTACACGAAATTACCACCTGAAGGGTCGGCTGGGTAAGAAGTTTACGTCACAGGTTTATGGAAAAGAGAAATGTGCTGGATTAAATCAGACATTTAGGGTTTTACCTTTTGGGCTTTGCGGTGCCTTTTTTACACATCCTGAATTCTCCTGCTGATAATTTTCCTTTAAAAGGGGGGGCATAGGCTGAGCTTTTCATCACATTATGCCCTGAAAGCTGACTCCAAACCAGTGTTGAAAATTCAGTTATTTGCATTTTAATAACAATCTACAAATACAACTTTTGTGTGGTTTTTTTTTTAAATTATTTTTAAATATTCCCCTCGGTTCGTGCGCTGCAGTTTTTGGTTTTTTTTTTCTGGTTTTTTTTTTGGTTTTTTTTTTTTTTTTTCCCCTAAAATTTTATTTTTCACCCCCGAGCAGTTTAATCCTCTCCCCCTGAAAATTCCAAATTCATCTGCTGGATGGGAAATAACAAACCACGAAGCATTGATTTTTTTTAAAAATAGGAATATTTTTAAAATTAAACATCTCTACATCCACACCCTCTCACAAAGGATTTAAGGAGCAGCTGCAGCACTGTTCACCAACAAAAAAAATTTCATTTTTTAAGGGTTTTTTTCCCAAGGAAAAGCAGCAAAGGGGGGGTTACAGAAAGGAAATTCCTTGGAATTCTCAGCATTCCTACTTAAACCAGCCTCTGGAATATTCTCTGAGGCCACCTGAAATCTGAATCATCAAGCAAAGAACCATCAAATGCTTCCCCAAATTCAGATTTCTGGCTCCAAACTGCTTCCAGGGGGTGAAAAACAATTTTTTTTTTGTCTTTTTAAAATAAATTTAAGCTCAATAAGCTCAAAAAAATGTTGGTTTTGTCACGAGAATTACCAAAAAAACCACCGCGTTTTAGAAATGCCTCCACAATTTTAAAGAAATAATAATCATAATAAAATAATAATAATAATAAAAAAAAGACAAATTAAGTTTAGCATGGATTTAAAGTTGTTTGAAAGAAAAAAAAAAAAAAAGAAAACCTCCAAAAACAAATGACAATTCATCACATTTCCTTGGATTAAAAAAGGACTAAACTTTATTGACAGATTGAGACAGACATTTTGACACGTTTTGAGCTACCTAGTTAGGCAGACTTTACACAAAATGTTGCATTTTTCTCTTCCAGAACAGAGTGGGAGGACAGCGTAACAAATCCAATTAGGACTTTATTTTATGTACAAAGTGAAATTTGGGTTGGTTTTTGTCTGTTTTTTTTTTAAATTTTGTTTTTTTTTTTGTTTACAGCTGCAGTGTCCCTTTTTATGCAAAGCTCGTGCTGAGATACACTTGAAGAAGTGGCTGGGACTGCTTGAAATTGAGATTTTTTTTAGGGTGAGGTTGAAATTTTCTGCCCCAAAGGGCTACAAAAAAAAATCAGAATTTTACAGGTCTACACATGGAATATTCCTTTATCAAACACTGGTAATCAGAGCCATATTTTGGGTTTTTTTTCCCTTAAAAATTGTTAATTTAGAATTAAACTAAAACCCCTTTCCACTGGAAAAATATTCCCAAGCATATCTCAACACTGCAGGGGGGGCTAGATTTCAAAATCCACATAAGAAAAGTCAATTTTTTACCAACCTAATTTTTCTTTTTAAGTCAATTCTCTTTAGAAAATGCTATTTAATTTGTTTGGAGGATCCTTTGGGTTAAAATTTAAACTTCAAGATTCACCAGCAATCTCCTTTTAAAGGTTTGGCATCTGAAGTTATTTTTTGGTTTTTTTTTTGTATTTTGTTTTTTAAATGGTGGCAGCCACTACTGTTACATTATGATTTTAATTCTTAAAAAAATAACCCTGAATTTTGAAATGTAGCCTACTTTGGGATTCTGCAACTACAACCTTTATGGGTTCCTTTAAAACAAACTTTAAAATTTTTAACAAAACCTTAATTTCAGCGCTAAGCAAAGCAGGTCACTTTTGGAAGCTAACATTTTTTTTTTTAACTCGCTTTTTAGGATATTTTTTTTTGTCTTTTTTTTTTTTTTCTCCTTAAAAAAGGTACAGTTTGTTTGTTCGTTTGTTTTTAACCTAAAAACGACAAAGAAGAAAAGCCATCTACACACCGAGAGAAGAAAAAAAAAAAATTAAAAATAATAATAAAAATTAAAAAGCTGGTTTTTTTTGTTTTTTTTTTTTTTCCCCCTTCTAAATCTATTTAAAAAAATCCATCGAGAAATCACTACATACAGAAGCCAAAATGCAGGGTGAGGATGGAGTGGGAGGAAAAAAAGGGGCCAGGAAGAAAAACAGGGAGACAATTACTTGTCTGCTGCGGGTAAAGCAACGGGAATCCTGGGAGATACAAGAACCAGAAACAAGAGTTTGCTCCTAACTTGGGGTTTTTGGCCCCGATTTTGGGGGTCAGTAGCGGCCATAGGGGTGCTCTCTGTAGCCCCCCTTGACTGGCCGGGCTGGGGGCGCCTTCAGGGAGGGCCGGGTTCCATTCCAGTCGTCCTGGCCTGCGGGGAGAAGGAGAGAGAGAGAAAAGGTCAGGGTTGGGTGGAGGGAGGTGGGGAAGGGGGAGAATGGCTGAGCAAAATGGCTCCTTAAAATAGGTCCTGATCCCCCCCAAAAACAGGTCCCCAAAAACAGCTCCTGATTCCTCAAAACCAGCTCCTGATTCCTCAAAATGGCTCCTCAAAACAGGTCCCCAAAACCAGCTCCTGAACGCCAAAGCCAGCTCTCCAAAACAGCTCCCCAAAACAGCTCCTGATTCCTCAAAACCAGCTCCTGATTCCTCAAAACCAGGTCCTGATTCCTCAAAACCAGCTCCTGATCCTCCAAACCAGGTCCTGATTCCTCAAAACCAGGTCCTGATTCCTCAAAACCAGCTCCTGATTCCTCAAAACCAGCTCCTCAAAACAGCTCCCCCAAACCAGCTCCTGATTCCTCAAAATGGCTCCTCAAAACAGGACCCACAAAACAGCTCCTGATCCCCAAAAACAGCTCCTCAAAACAGCTCCTGATCCTCCAAACCAGCTCCTGATTCCTCAAAATGGCTCCTCAAAACAGGTCCCCAAAACCAGCTCCTGATCACCAAAGCCAGCTCTCCAAAACAGCTCCTGATTGCCAAAACCAGCTCCTCAAAAGAGGTCCTGATTCCCCCCAAAAAACAGCTCCTCAAAACAGGTCCTGATCCCCAAAAACAGCTCCTGATTCCTCAAAATAGGTCCTCAAAACAGCTCCTGATCCCCCAAAAAACAGCTCCTCAAAACAGCTCCTGATCCCCCAAAAAACAGCTCCTCAAAACAGCTCACCCAAACCAGCTCCTGATTCCTCAAAACAGCTCCTCAAAACAGGTCCTGATCATCAAAAACAGCTCCCCCAAAACAGGTCCAGATCCCCAAAACAGCTCCTGATTCCCAAAAACAGCTCCTCAAAACAGGACCCACGAAACAGCTCCTGATTCCTCAAAACAGCTCCCCAAAACCAGCTCTTGATCCCCAAAGCCAGCTCCTCAAAACAGATCCTAATCCCCAAAAATAGCTCCTCAAAACAGGCCCTGATCCCCCCAAAACAGCACCTGATTCCCCAAAAACAGCTCCTCAAAACAGGTCCTGATCCCCAAAACCAGCTCCTGATTCCTCAAAATAGCACCTCAAAACAGGTCCTGGTCCCCCAAAACAGCTCCCCAGAAACAGGTCCTGGTCATCAAAAACAGCTCCTCCAAAACAGGTTCAGATCCCCAAAATCAGGTCCCCAAAACCAGCTCCTGATCCCCCAAGACAGCTCCTCAGAAGAGCTCCCCCATAGCAGCTCCTGATCCCCAAAACCAGCTCTTGATCCTTCAAAACAGTTCCACCAAAACAGTTCCTGATATCCAAACCAGCTCCTCAAAACCAGCTCCTGATCCTCCAAAACAGGTCCTGATCTCCCATAACAGCTCCCCAAAAAACTTCCCAATAACAGCTCCTGATCCTCATAAACAAGTCCTGATTCCCCAAAAACAGCTCCTGATCCCCAAAAACCAGCTCCCCAAAACCAGCTCCCAATCCCCCAAAACCAGCTCCTGATCTCCCAAAATCCAGCTTGTGATCCAGCAAAACAGCTTGACCAAAACAGCTCCTGATCCCCCCAAATCCAGCAAAAGAGATGCCCCAAAACAGATCCTGATCCCTAAAAACAGCTCCTGATGCCCCAAAACAGCTCCTGATCCCCAAAAACAGCTCCACCAAACCAGCTGCTGATCCCCAAGGGGCTGTTCCAGCCACGTGGAACTCCACACCTTCAAGGAGAGCTTTGGCAATTTGGGATGTCACCTGGGCTGGAAATTTGGGGTCCCCTCCCAAATTCCCTGTGTGAGGAGCAGGAAAGGTTCTGGAGGTGCCCAAACCCTGCCCAGCAACAACAAAACTCCAGAGTCAGTCCCAGAGCAGCCCTGGGGACAGGGGACAATGGTTCCTTCTCAGTGCCACATCCAGATGCCATTCCAAGGCTGGAGATGGGAACTGTCCCCAAAAATAAATCAATGGGGACAGGGGACAGTGGTTCCTTCTTAGTGTCACATCCAGATGCCATTCTAAGGTTGGACATGGGAACTGTCCCCAAAAATAAATCGCTGGGGACAGGGGACAATGTCTCCCCCTTCTCAGTGCCACATCAGATGCCATTCCAAGGCTGGAAATGGGAACTGCCCCCCAAAAAAAATAAATGGGGACAGGGGACAATGGTTCCTTCTCAGTGCCACATCAGATGCCATTCCAAGGCTGGAAATGGGAACTGCCCCCAAAAAAAAATAAATGGGGACAGGGGACAATGGTTCCCTCTCCCTGTCACATCAGATACCATTCCAAGGCTGGAGATGGGAACTGTCCCCAAAAATAAATAAATGGGGACAGGGGACAGTGGTTCCCTCTCATTGCCACATCCAGATGCCACTCCCAGCGTGGGAATTCCCTCAAAAATCAATGGGGACAGGGGACAATGATTCTCCCTCTGTCACATATAGTGGCATTCCAAGGCTGGAAATGGGAACTGTCCCCAAAAATAAATAAATGGGGACAGGGGACAGTGGTTCCCTCTCATTGCCACATCCAGATGCCACTCCCAGCCTGGGAATTCCCTCGAAAATAAATGGGGACAGGGGACAATGATAAATCAAAGCAGCCACAGCTGAGGGCAGCAGGAGGCAGGGAGGGACCTCTGGAATGTCTTCCCAAGGAATTCCTTGGTTTATTTTGCTTTTTCCTGGTGAATTTTATCCCAGCTCATTCCTCCCCTCATTTTTACCCTCCCAATTCTCTCCCTGTCCCATGGGTGGGGAGTGACAGCAGGGCGTGGTGGCCCTTTGGGGGTTAAATCACCAAATTTTGGCTCAGCCCAGCTTAAATGGGGAGTTTTACATAATTGAGATTAGCTAAGCTTTGCCCACTGAGTCAAACTGGCTCCCTCATGACATTTAAATCCAATTTTTGAGCAGATTCACAGAGTCAGGGTTTGTGAGGATAAAGGAAGCAGATGGAACCACATAAAACCCAGCCCATGAAAACCAGACTGCAGCACAAGCGCTGTGGGTGGAAATCCAGACCTCCTGAAATATTCTAAAGCTGCAAGGAAATTGAAACATTTCCAAAGATTAAAAATGGATTTTTTTTAAAAGAAAAAAAATCTTGGTTTTGAGAAAATCAAGCTTGAGAAGAACCTAAACCCACAGAGAGCTTGTTCAAACCTAAATAAAAACAGCCCTCAGTTTTTTTATATCCAGACATTGGAAAACAGCAAAATTGACCACGAGCAATTCCCAAACCCTCCCTTATCCCAAAATCCCCAGACATACCATAAGCTTCATAGGTTTCCTGTGCCTCCCCATGTCCATAATCATAATATTCTGTATCCCTGCAAAAACAATGAGGTGGTTACATACAGGGAAATCCCATTCCCACACTGCCACAAAAAATCAGGGAAAGAGAAAATGCTCTGAGCCCTGGATTCCAGCAGAACTCTGCAGCGCCACTGGCTTCAAGTGGGATTAAAAAAGGGAAAAAAAGGGGAAAAAAAGGGGAAAAAAGGGGGAAAAAAAAGGGAAAAAAGGGGGGAAAAAAGGGGGGAAAAAGGGGGAAAAAAGGGGGAAAAAAGGGGGAAAAAAGGGGAAAAAAAAGGGGAAAAAAGGGGAAAAAAAGGGGAAAAAAAAGGGAAAAAGGCCATGCAGGATTCCTTTGGGAGGAGGGAATCCAATTTACCCTTGGCCCTGGCTGTAGCAACTCAGGAATGTTTCCATTGGTTTCAAATGGGATTTAAAAAAAAAAGGGAAAAGAGGGAAAAAAGGGGGAAAAAAGGGGAAAAGGCCATGCAGGATTGCTTTGGGAACAGGGAATCCAACTCACCCTTGGCCCTGGCTGTAGCAGCTCAGGAATGTTTCTATTGCCTTCAAATGGGATTAAAAAAAAAGGGGAAAGAGGGGGGGAAAAAAGGGGAAAAGGGGAAAAAAAAGGGGAAAAAAGGGAAAAAGGGGGAAAAGGCCATGCAGGATCGCTTTGGGAAGAGGGAATCCCACTCACCCTTGGCCCTGGCTGTAGCAGCTCAGGAATGTTTTCATTGGCTTCAAATGGGATTTAAAAATAGGGAAAAGAGGGGGGGAAAGGGGAAAGAGGGGAAAAAAGGGAAAAGAGGAGGAGAAAAAGGGAAAAGAAGGGAAAAGGCCATGCAGGATTGCTTTGGGAAGAGGGAATCCCACTCACTCTCGGCCCTGGCTGTAACAGCTCAGGAATATTTTCATTGGCTTCAAATGGGATTTGGAAAAGGGGAAAAGAGAGGGAAAAAGGGGAAAAAAGGGAAAAGAGGGGGAAAAAAGGGGGAAAAAGGGAAAAAAGGCCATGCAGGATTGCTTTGGGGAGTCCCACTCACCCTTGGCCCTGGCTGTAGTAGCCCTCGTAGCCCTCATAGCTCTGCTCTGCGTACGCGTCATCGTAGCCCTGTGAGCGTGGGGACAGAAAAGTGTCACAACCCCAACTCCATCCCAATGGTCCCTGGTGATCCCAGAACCATCCTAAAGGTTTCTGGTGATCCCAGAACCATCCCAACGGTCCCTGGTGATCCCAGAACCAGGAGTCAGTGGGATCCCAACACCATTCCCAGCAGTCCTTGGTGATATCAGCACCATCCCATTGATCCCTGGTGATCCCAACCCCATCCCACTGATCCCTGGTGATCCCAACACCACCCCACTGATCCTCAGTGATCCCCAGTGATCCCAGCCCCATCCCACCGATCCCTGGTGATCCCAGCACCATTCCAAGCAGTCCTTGGTGATCTCAGCCCCATCCCACTGATCCATGGTGATCCCAACACTATTCCCACTGATCTCTGGTGATCCCAGCCCCATCTCACTGACCCCTAGTGATCTCAGCACCACCCCATTGATCCCTGCTGATCCCAGCACCATCCTACTGATCCCTGATGGTCCCAACATCATTCCCACTGATTCCTGGTGACCCCAGCCCCATCCCACTGATCCATGGTGATCCCACTGATCCCTGCACCATCCCACTGATCCCTGGTGATCCCAACACCACCCCATTGATCCCTGGTGATCCCAACACCACCCCATTGATCCCTGGTGATCCCAACCCCATCCCACTGATCCATGGTGATCCCACTGATCCCTGCACCATCCCACTGATCCATGGTGATCCTTGGTGATCCCAACCCCACCCCATTGATCCCTGGTGATCCCAACCCCACCCCATTGATCCCTGGTGATCCCAACCCCACCCCATTGATCCCTGGTGATCCCAGCACCACCCCAGTGATCCCTGGTGATCCCAACCCCACCCCATTGATCCCTGGTGATCCCAGCACCACCCTACTGATCCCTGGTGATCCCACTGATCCTTGGTGATCCCAACCCCATCCCATGGATCCCTAGTGATCCCAGCACCACCCCAGTGATCCCTGGTGATCCCAACCCCACCCCATTGATCCCTGGTGATCCCAGCACCACCCCATTGATCCCTGGTGATCCCAGCACCACCCCAGTGATCCCTGGTGATCCCACTGACCCCCAGTGATCCCAGTGCCACCCCGCTGATCCCCATCCCCCCCACCCCCCCACCGCCATCATTAACCCCTGAATGCCCACAATGAACCCCTGCTCACGTATTCCTCGTAGCTCTCTGGCACGGGGGGCGGGGGCAGGGGTATCCTCTGGATGCCAGCTGCGCGTGCCCGGGGGGCAGGGGCTCCCCTCACGGCCGGGGGCGGGGGCACCCCCCGGGCCATGGCGGCGCCCCGGGCCAGGGCCCCGCGCACGGGGGCGCCCCGCACCAGGGCACCCCTGGGAGGAGGAGGAGGAGGGGGCCCGACCCCACGGCCCCTGCGGAGACACAGAGAGGTTGGGCAGGAGCTGCTGCTGCTCTGGGGAGACCCAGCATGGGATGTGGCACTGTCACATCTTCTGGAGAGCCCCAGCATGGGATGTGGCACTGTCACATCTTCTGGAGAGCCCCAGCATGGGGATGTGGCACTGTCACATCTTCTGGAGAGCCCCAGCATGGGGATGTGGCACTGTCACATCTTCTGGAGAGCCCCAGCATGGGATGTGGCACTGTCATGTTTTCTAGAGAGCCCCAGCATGGGATGTGGCATTGTCACATCTTCTGGAGAGCCCCAGCATGGGATGTGGCACTGTCACATCTTCTGGAGAGCCCCAGCATGGGATGTGGCACTGTCACATCTTCTGGAGAGCCCCAGCATGGGATGTGGCACTGTCACATCTTCTGGAGAGCCCCAGCATGGGATGTGGCACTGTCACATCTTCTGGAGAGCCCCAGCATGGGATGTGGCACTGTCACATCTTCTGGAGAGCCCCAGCATGGGGATGTGGCACTGTCACATCTTCTGGAGAGTCCCAGCATGGGATGTGGCACTGTCACATCTTCTGGAGAGTCCCAGCATGGGATGTGGCACTGTCACATCTTCTGGAGAGCCCCAGCATGGGATGTGGCACTGTCACATCTTCTGGAGAGCCCCAGCATGGGGATGTGGCACTGTCATGTTTTCTAGAGAGCCCCAGCATGGGATGTGGCATTGTCACATCTTCTGAAAAAACCCCTTTGCTCAGCATGGGGATGTGGCACTGTCATGTTTTCTGAAAAACCCCCTTTGCCCAGGATGGGGATGTGGCACTGTCACATTTTCTGGAGAGCCCTAGGATGGGGATGTGGCACTGTCATGTTTCCTAGAGAGTCCCAGGATGGGGATGTGTCATTGTTCCATTTTCCAGGATGGAACCATGGATGGAACCATGGATGAACCTATTGATGGAACCATGGATGGAACCAGTGATGGAACCATAGATGAAACCACGGATGGAACCATGGATGAAACCACAGATGGAATCACGGATGAAACATGGATGGAACCACGGATGGAACCACGGATGGAACCATGGATGGAAACCATTGATGGAACCATTGATAGAACCACGGATGGAACCATTGATGGAACCATTGATGGAACCACGGATGGAAACCATGGATGGAACCATTGACAGAACCACGGATGGAAACCACGGATGGAACCACGGATGGACCATGAATGAAAGCATTGATGAAACCACTTATGAAACTATTGATGGAACTATTGATGGAAACCATGGATGGAAACCATGGATGAAACCATGGATGGAAACCATTGATGGAAACCATGGATGAAATAATTGACAGAACCACGGATGGAATCACGGATGGAACCTCTTATGAAACCACTGATGGAACCACGGATGGAACCATGGATGGAACCCACCCCAGATGACACCCCAGTCACGATGCCCTGAGCCGTAAGCCCAAAGCCAGGCCTGGCCAAGCAGCAGTTTAAGCCCTGTGAGAGCCCAGCTGAGGGTGCAGGCAGCATTCCCGGGCTGGGATTTTGGGCATACCTTGGCACAGGGGGAGGGGGAGGTGGCGCTGCCCCCCGGCCCCGCCCGGGGACGCCTCGGCCGCGGTTGGGCTCCGGGACCCCGTTGAGATAGGAGAGCTCCAGGAACTGCTCCTGGCAGATATCATCCATCATGTCCTGAAATGGGGATAAAAATGAGGGTAAATAAGGAGATAAAGGGTCAGCTGAGAGAACAGTGTCGCAGACATTTTTTTATAGAAATCCTTTCTTTGGGACTTGTCCATCTTCTGGGAAGCTGAGGCCCCAGAAAGAGAAGGCAAACAATGATTATCAGCTGCTGTGGGATGCAATAGGATGCACCTGGGATTGGTTCATGTTCCATGTGTGCAATTAAGGGCCGATCACAGGGCAAGCTCTCTGGTGTTGGAGAATGGCTTAAAGAAAAAGGCCATGAAGACATACAATGGAGAGAAAAGTAAAAGGTAAAAGTAAAGCAGTTCTTAAAGCAGTTCCCAGGTTCATTTTTATAAACAATAAGGTTCTCAGACAGTCTTCCCATAACAAGCAAAGCACTCTGTCTGGGAAAAGCTGGCTCCCTGGGAACAGATATGGAAGTTTTGGGAAACTCTCATATCACAGTGGGAACGTTGGTTCTGTTTTGAATAAACAATTGTAGGTATTGTAAAACAAAAGGAGCGGTTAGAGTTTTCTCTGTTAACCTATCGTGAGCTCAGATTTTGCAATATGCATGAGGTTAATTAACACTGTTATATTAAGTGACTGACTGATCAATAAATCGGAGTTCGATGCATTACCAGGATGGTCGTTCTCCCTTCACTTCAATACTCTGGAACACAGGGACAGAGAATTCTCTTGTTTTTAGATTCTTTCTATTCTATTCTTGGCTTAGCAGCCTCTGCAACTTCTCTTCTTATTCTTTTTAGTATAGTTATAATGTATTACATATCATATATCAATAAATCCAGCCTTCTGATCATCAAACGAGATTCTCGTCCTTCTCTCCCACCATGCAGACCTCATCAGGGCGCTGGGATATCACAGCTCTGGGATATCACAGCCTGGCATGAAACAACTGCATGGGCCTCAGGAAAATCTGCTTTTAGTGGGATTGGCTGCAGCTTTCTGCAAGGTTCCAGCCCTGCAGCTCCAGGTGGCGTTCCCAGAATGCCAGGAGGATTTTTGGGGACAGCCCAGGCAGGTCTGAGCCCACAGCTCCTGTTAAAGGGGCAGTGAGCCCACGGAAGTGACCCTGCAGTGCTCCCACTCCCAAAGGACAGGGCTGGGATGCAGATATCCCTTCCCAAACCCAAGGGGGCTTCTCAAATCCTGAGGGGTGCAGAGCGTGCCTGGCAGATCCCTGCAGATCCCTTCCCTGGGGACCAAAGGGCCACAGGAGATCACCCAGAACCATCCCAGTGATTCCCAGTGATCCCAGAACCATCCCAGTGATCCCAGCAGTTCCTGGAGGTCCCAAAACCACCCCAGTGATTCCCAGTGATCCCAGCACCATCCCAGAGCTTCCTGGAGATCCCAGAACCATCTCAGAGCTCCCTGGAGATCCCAGAACCATCCCACTGATTCCCAGCGATCCCAGCAGTTCCTAGTGATCCCAAAACCATCCCAGAGCTTCCTGGAGATCCCCAAACCATCCCAGTGGTTCCCAGTGATCCCAGCAGCTCCTGGAGATAGAAGAACCATCCCAGTGATCCCTGAATCATCCCAGAGCTCCCAGGAGATCCCAGAACCATCCCAGTGGTCCCTGGACCATCCCAGAGCTCCCTGGAGATTCCAGAACCATCCCAGTGATTCCTGAACCATCCCAGAGATCCCTGAACCATCCCAGTGGTCCCTGAACCATCCCAGTACCCCTGGAGATCCCAGAACCATCCCAGTGATCCCTGGAGACCCCCAAACCATCCCAGTGGTCCCTGAACCATCCGAGAGCTCCCTGGAGATCCCAAAATCCTCCCAGTGGTCTGTGAACCATCCCAGAGCTTCCTGGAGATCCCAGAACCACCCCAGTGGTTCCCAGTGATCCCAGAACCATTTCAGTGCTCCCTGGACATCCCAAAACCATCCCAGTACTCCTGGAGATCCCAAAACCATCCCAGTGGTTCCCAGTGATCCCAAAACCATCCCAGAGTTCCTTGGAGATCCCAAAACCATCCCAGAGTTCCTTGGAGATCCCAGAATCATCCCAGAGCTTCCTGGAGATCCCAGAACCATCCCAGTGATTCCTGGAGGTCCCAGAACCATCCCAGTGATTTCTGGAGATCTCAAAACCATCCCAGTGATCCCTGGAGACCCCCAAACCAATCCCAGTGGTCCCTGAACCATCCCAGAGATCCCTGGAGATCCCAGCATCATCCCAGAGCTCCCTGAACCATCCCAGAGCTCCCTGAACCATCCCAGTGATCCCTGAACCATCCCAGAGATCCCTGGAGGTCCCTGAACCATCCCAGAGCTCCCTGAACCATCCCAGTGATCCCTGACCATCCCAGAGATCCCTGGAGGTCCCTGAACCATCCCAGAGATCCCTGGAGGTCCCTGAACCATCCCAGAGATCCCTGGAGGTCCCTGAACCATCTCAGTGACCCCAGCACCATCCCAGAGCTCCCCGGAGATCCCAGCGATGATCATCCCACCCGAAGTGCGAACCTCCCCATTTCCCCCCCTAACTTAACACCCAATTTTAATTTTAATTTTGGAGGAGGCTCCCTGAAGGAGCAGGGAACTCACAGGGACCAGGAACTTCTTGACCTCCTCCATGGCGTGGGCCATGAGGGCGTAGGCCTCGCAGGGCGGCCCGAACACCTCGATGAACACGTGCAGGTCCATGTGCAGGTGCGCGTACTTGGGGTCGCCGCCCTTGCGCAGCTCCTCCTCCTGCAGAAACCCCACAAATTTATCAAAAATGGAATTTGGAAGGAGTTTTTTAATTTTATAGGAATTAGGAATGAGAATGGATAGGAAACAATTTTAGATGGTTTTGTATATCTGTGTGCAAACACTGAGATATATTTGTATTTGGGATTCCTCCTTTGTGGAGCAGCTCCTCCTCCTGCAGAAACCCCACAAATTTATCAAAAATGGAATTTGGAAAGAGGTTTTTAATTTTATGGGAAATAGGAAACCATTTTAGATGGTTTTGTACATCTGTGTGCAAACACTGAGATATATTGATATTTGGGATTCTCCTCCTCCTGCAGAAACCCCACAAATTTATCAAAAATGGAATTTGGAAAGAGGTTTTTAATTTTATAGGAATTAGGAAACCATTTTAGATGGTTTTGTACATCTGTGTGCAAACACTGAGATATATTTGTATTTGGGATCCCTCCCTTTGTGGAGCTCCTCCTCCTGCAGAAACCCCACAAAATTATCAAAAATGGAATTTGTAAGGAGTTTTTTAATTTTATAGGAATTAGAAATGAGAATTTATAGGAAACTATTTTATATGGTTTTGTATATCTGTGTGCAAACACTGAGATATAAATATAATTGGGATCCCTCCCTTTACAGAGCTCCTCCTCCTGCAAAAAACCCACAAAATTATTAAAAATGGAATTTGGAAAGAGTTTCTAAATTTTATAGGAATTAGGAATGAGAATTGATGGAAACCATTTTAGATGGTTTTGTACATCTGTGTGCAAACACTGAGATATACTGATATTTGGGATATCCCCCTATCTGGAGCTCCTCCTCCTGCAAAAACCCCACAAATTTATTAAAAATGGAATTTGGAAAGAGGTTTTTAATTTTATAGGAATTAGGAATGAGAATTTATAGGAAACTATTTTCTATGGTTTTGTATATCTGTGTGCAAACACTGAGATATAAATATAATTGGGATCCCTCCCTTTACAGAGCTCCTCCTCCTGCAAAAAACCCACAAAATTATTAAAAATGGAATTTGGAAAGAGTTTCTAAATTTTATAGGAATTAGGAATGAGAATTGATGGAAACCATTCTATATGGTTTTGTACATCTGTGTGCAAACACTGAGATATAAATATATTTGGGATTCCTCCTTTGTGCAGCTCCTCCTCCTGCAGAAACCCCACAAATTTATTAAAAATGGAATTTGGAAAGAGGTTTTTAATTTTATAGGAATTAGGAAACCATTTTAGATGGTTTTGTACATCTGTGTGCAAACACTGAGATATATTTGTATTTGGGATCCCTCCCTTTACAGAGCTCCTCCTCTTGCACTGAACCAGAAGAATTTCAAGATTTCAGAGCAGCTAAAAAAGGGATTTTTATCTTTTTATAGAGAGAAAAAATATCCTTTTAATGAATGCCTCTTGAGGAGAAGAATCCTTATTTTATCAATTTTTAAATTCATCTTTAATTGATGCTTTTTCTAGGTTAATTTTTAATAAAACGCTTGGAGAGCTGTTAATTCGCACCAAAATAAATGGAATTTTATTTTTTCTTTTTCCTCACCTTGGCTTTGTCCCTCATGGAGCCTTTCCCCAGCACAGAGATTTTAGCACCAGTTTCTTCCTGAAGTCTCTTAATGGTGTTGCCTTGGGGTCCCAAAATCTTCCCAACAAAGTTGAACTGGAAATTAAAAAAAAAAAAAAAAATCACAAAAATTAATCAGCTCCAGAGCTCCAAAAATGTTTCTCAATGTTCTGTTGGTTGACAAAAAAAAAAAAAAAATCAAAAAAAATCACATTTCTACAGGAAAATTGAAGTTTTGAAAGGGAAATTTAAATTTCAAATGGAAAATTCAAGAGGGAAATTCAAGTTTCAAAAGGGAAAAATTAAGTTTCCAAAGGAAAATTCAAGTTTCAAGAGGGAAGTTCAAGTTTTAAAAGGAAAATCCAAGTTTCAAAAGAAAATTCAAGTTTTCAAAGGAAAATCCAAGTTTCAAAAGGAAAATCCAGCTTTGAAAGGAAAATTCAAGTTGTTTCCAAAGGAAAATTCAAGTTTCAAAAGGAAAATCCACGTTTCCAAAGGAAAATTTAGGATTCCAAAGGAAAAATTAAATTTGGAAAAGAAAATTCAAGTTTCCAAAGGAAAATTCAGGTTTCAATAGGAAAATTCAAGTTTCAAGAGGAAAATCCAAGTTTTAAAAGGAAAATTCAAGTTTCAAAAGGAAAAATTAAGCTTTGAAAGGAAAATTCAAGTTTCAAGAGGAAAGTTCAAATTTTTAAAGGAAAATCCAAGTTTCAAAAGAAAATTCAAGTTTCCAAAGGAAAATCCAGCTTTGAAAGGAAAATTCAAGTTGTTTCCAAAGGAAAATCCAAGTTTTAAAAGGAAAATTCAAGTTCCAAAAGGAAAAATTAAGCTTTGAACGGAAAATTCAAGTTTCCAAAAGAAAATCCAAGTTTCAAAAGGAAAATCAAACTTTGAAAGGAAAATTCAAGTTGTTTCTAAAGGAAAATCCAAGTTTCAAGAGGAAAATTCAAGTTTTAATCTTTCTTTTCATGAAAAAAAATCCAAATGCTCCGGCAGAAAAATCAAGCTAAATTAAGTTGTTCAACCCCAACATCTGCAGCAGCTTTCCAGCAAATTTTTAAGGAATTAATTGTAAAAAAAAAAATATAAAAATCTGCACCTATGGAATTGTGCGTTCCAGCAATCCAAGATCCCAATGTGCATCACCACTCATCCCAAAATACTCCAAAAATTCAAGATATTACAAATAAAAACCCAAACAATTCCGTATTTTTCCAAAGAAACCGCTTGAATTTTGGTTGAAAATGAAGATTGAACTCCTGCTGCCACAAAATCCCACAGAAAATAAAATCTCAGAGATTTGTTGATTTTTTCTGGCCTCACCTTGGGGTATTGCTTGACAGGGATCAGAACTCGTTCCTTCAGCTTCATATTCTTGTGGGAAAATAAATCCAGGTAATTCTCCTCCTCATCCTTCTTTGTTGTCTCTCCTTTCTGAATTTTTTCAATTTCTAAATAAAAATAAATTAATATAAATAATAAAATCAATATAAATACTATTATATAAATATAACTATTATTATATAATAGAAATAATAATATAAAATTAAAATAACTCCAAGATATTATAATTGTAAATACAAATATAAAGAATAATTCCAGGCTCTGGGAATTCCAAGTTTTGGGAATTTCAAGCTTTGGGAATTCTAAATTTTGGGAAATCCAAGTTTGAGAATGCCAAGCTCTGGGAATTCCGGGCTTTGGGAATTCCAAGTTTTGGGAATTCCAAGCTTTGGCAATTCCAAGATCTGGGAAACCCAAGTTTGAGAATGCCAAGCTTTGGGAATTCCAAGCTCTGGGAATTCCAGGCACTGGGAATTCCAAGTTTTGGGAATTCCAGGCTCTGGGAAGGAAAGGTGAGATTTGGGATGGGGCACAGAGGGAGAAACTCCTGGGATGGCAACGGGAACGGGAATGAGCACTGAGGTGGGAATGGCCATAAAGGTGGGAATGGGAATGGACACAAAAGTGGGAATGGACACAAAAGTGGGAATGGGAATGGACACAGAGGGGAGAATGGCCACTGAGGTGGAATAGGAGTGGCCACAGCTCTGGGAATATCCACAAAGGCAGGAATGGGAATGGCCACAAAGGTGGGAATGGCCACAAAGGCAGGAATGGGAATGGCCACAAAGGTGGGAATGGCCACAAAGGCAGGAATGGGAATGGCCACAAAGGTGGGAATGGCCACAAAGGCAGGAATGGGAATGGCCACAGCACCAGGAATGGGAATGGCCACTGAGGGGAGAATGGCAACAGAGGTGGGAACAGGAATGGCCACAGCTCTGAAGTGGGAATGGGCACAAAGGTGGGAATAGGAACGACCACAAAAGTGAGAATGGCCACTGAGGTGGAACAGGAGTGGTCAAAGCTCTGGGAATGGGAATGGCCACAGAGGTGGGAACAGGAATGGCCACTGAGGGTGGAAATGGGAATGGCCACAACACCAGGAATGGGAATGGCCACAAAGGTGGGAATAGGAATGGCCACCGAGGTGGGAATGGCCACTGAGGGAACGGGCATGGCCACAGCAGCAGGAATGGGAATGGCCCCACAGCACTGGGAATGGCCACAAAGGTGGGAACGGGAATGGCCACAGCTCTGGGAACAGGAGTGGCCACAGCAGCAGGAATGGGAATGGCCACTGAGGTGGGAATGGCCACGGCCACGGCAGCAGGACTGGGAATGGCCCCACAGCTCTGGGAATGGCCACAAAGGTGGAAATGGGAATGGCCACAGCTCTGGGAACAGGAGTGGCCACAGCTGCAGGAATGGGAATGGCCCCACAGCTCTGGGAATGGAAATGGCCACAGAGGTGGAACAGGAATGGCCACAATTCTGGGAAGGGGAATGGCCACAGCTCTGGGAATGGCAATGGCCCCTGAGGTGGGAACAGGAGTGGCCACAGCGGCGCCAGCTGCTGAGAACGCTGCTGTGGTTGAACAAAACAGAAACTGAAAAGCACAAACTGAAACGGTTTCAGAAGGAGCCAGCCTGAGACAGCAGGGACAGTGTCAGGTGGCAGTTTGGGGACAGCATTTCCTGGGGAAGGACAGGAATGGAGGGATCTCCATCAGGAGAGGCTGCACTGCACTGGGAGGAGCTCCAGGGTGAGCCCTGTCCCCTCAGTGACCTCAGCCCTGGAGCCACCACCCAGCCTGGGATGTGCCAGGGACGCACAGCTGGATCCAGCAGGGAATTCCTGGGACACCACCAGGGACGCACAGCTGGATCCAGCAGGGAATTCCTGGGACACCACCAGGGATGCACAGCTGGATCCAGCAGGGAATTCCTGGGATGTGCCAGGGACGCACAGCTGGATGCAGCAGGGAATTCCTGGGATGTGCCAGGGACGCACAGCTGGATCCAGCAGGGAATTCCTGGGACACCACCAGGGATGCACAGCTGGATCCAGCAGGGAATTCCTGGGATGTGCCAGGGACGCACAGCTGGATCCAGCAGGGAATTCCTGGGACACCACCAGGGATGCACAGCTGGATCCAGCAGGGAATTCCTGGGATGTGCCAGGGACGCACAGCTGGATCCAGCAGGGAATTCCTGGGATGTGCCAGGGACGCACAGCTGGATCCAGCAGGGAATTCCTGGGACACCGCCAGGGATGCACAGCTGGATCCAGCAGGGAATTCCTGGGACACCACCAGGGATGCACAGCTGGATCCAGCAGGGAATTCCTGGGATGTGTCAGGGACGCACAGCTGGATCCAGCAGGGAATTCCTGGGACACCACCAGGGATGCACAGCTGGATCCAGCAGGGAATTCCTGGGATGTGCCAGGGACGCACAGCTGGATGCAGCAGGGAATTCCTGGGATGTGCCAGGGACGCACAGCTGGATCCAGCAGGGAATTCCTGGGACACCACCAGGGATGCACAGCTGGATCCAGCAGGGAATTCCTGGGATGTGCCAGGGACGCACAGCTGGATCCAGCAGGGAATTCCTGGGATGTGCCAGGGACGCACAGCTGGATCCAGCAGGGAATTCCTGGGACACCGCCAGGGATGCACAGCTGGATCCAGCAGGGAATTCCTGGGACACCACCAGGGATGCACAGCTGGATCCAGCAGGGAATTCCTGGGATGTGTCAGGGACGCACAGCTGGATCCAGCAGGGAATTCCTGGGACACCACCAGGGATGCACAGCTGGATCCAGCAGGGAATTCCTGGGATGTGCCAGGGACGCACAGCTGGATCCAGCAGGGAATTCCTGGGATGTGCCAGGGACGCACAGCTGGATCCAGCAGGGAATTCCTGGGATGTGCCAGGGACGCACAGCTGGATCCAGCAGGGAATTCCTGGGACACCACCAGGGATGCACAGCTGGATCCAGCAGGGAATTCCTGGGATGTGCCAGGGACGCACAGCTGGATGCAGCAGGGAATTCCTGGGATGTGCCAGGGACGCACAGCTGGATCCAGCAGGGAATTCCTGGGATGTGCCAGGGACGCACAGCTGGATCCAGCAGGGAATTCCTGGGACACCACCAGGGATGCACAGCTGGATCCAGCAGGGAATTCCTGGGATGTGCCAGGGACGCACAGCTGGATCCAGCAGGGAATTCCTGGGGATGCCCCAGCCCCTCCCTGCTCCCATTGCCAACCACCCTGCAATGACACAGCTCACACATCCCTGGGAAATCCAGCTTGGAGCTTTTCCATGAAATAAACCCGGCTAAAATTCCCCAAAATTCCCAAATCCCACAGCTGGGATATCTCCTTTTCCCCAAAGGGAAAGTAGAGAGGGCTGTGCCCTTCACACCTCCCCTGCTCTTTCAAAAAGGATTTTCTTGTTCCTATGGAAAAGTCACACAGACCCCAAATCCCAGCAGGGAAACGTGGATTATATTTAAAAATGCAAGAAATCCCAGATTTCAGCTCCTTTAGGATCACAGAACCCCCAGTGTAGCCACTTTCATATCAGAGTCCATGGAATCAATAAGAATCCCGTCACTGCCAGGCCCTTGCTCCCAAAAAAAAAGCCAAAAAATTAAAATTTTTCCATCTAAAAACACAGAACCGCCGCAGTATTTTAGACAGCTTTAAAATGTTGTTTAAAATAATAAATGCAGAATTTCAGCAGGGTTCCCTCCCTGAGGCAGCCTGAGCAACTTCCACTTCTGGGGAGGGAAAAATGGATGGAAAGAGAATTTTGCTGACACTCAGAAGCATTTGTGGCTCTGGAAATGATTTTTGTGCAGCACAAATTTGGCCCAGGCTGAAATTCCAAGGAATCCAGAGCAATCTGGGGCTCATCCAGGCCAAAAAATTCCCCTAAATCCATCATTTTACCTCAAATTCTTCCTCATTGTTTTCCTGCTCAGCTCACTTTCAACTGGGAAGAATTTATTATTATTATTATTATTATTATTATATCATCATTTTATAGTAATATTATCCCAATTATTGTAATATATAACAATATTATTCCCAAAAAAAGTGATTTTCAAAATACCCACAGCTGGAGCCTCTCCTATTTGAAATCCCCCACAGCTGCAATCATTACATCAATAAATTAATTTTAAAATTAATTAATTAATTAAAAACCCTCCTAAATCCTTGTTACAGCCCTGAGGCTTTGCAGGATGCTGCTCTTTGTGGGGGAATTTGCAAATCCTTGGATTTCCTTTGCCTGGGAGGTATCAATGCTGAGCTGGATGAAGAATCAAAACTCTGCATTTTTAAGCCCTGACACAATAAATAATTTTAAAAAAAAGCAGGCGGAGAAAGAAATAATTTTAAAAATTCAAATTAATAGCTTTTAAATTATTTAGAATAATCGAATGAAATAATTATAAAATAGTTTGTTATTAAATAAATCACTATCAAACCATTATTGAATAAATTATCATTTAATAAATTACCATTTAATAAATGATCGTTAAATAATTTAATTAATTATATATAAAATTTAAGAATGCAATTAATTAAAAGAATGTAAATATTCCAAAAAGTATTTTTAAATCACAATAAAAAGTAGTACAAATAAGTAAACTACTAATACTATTATTAATAATAGTAATGGTAGTAATAAAATTATTAACAATAAAATAGTAAGAATAAAATAAAAATAATATCAATTAAATAATAATGAGAATAACAATGATAATGATATTAATAGTAATAATAAGAATAATTTTAAAAGCGGGGGAAAAAATTTTTTAAAGCAGTGGTGGAAATAATAATGACAATGGTAGTAGTAATAATAATAGTAATAATAATAGTAATAATAATAGTAATAATAGGTGGGGAAAATTTAAGCAGTGGCGGAAATAATAATAACAATAATAATAACAACAGGTAGGAAATAATAATGAGAATAATGATAATATTAATTGGAAAATAATAATACTGATAATAATGATAATATTAATCGGAAAATAATAATAATGACAATATTAATCGGAAAATAATAATAATGATAATAATGATAATATTAATAGGAAAATAATAATAATGATGATATTAATAGGAAAATAATAATACTGATAATAATGATAATATTAATAGGAAAATAACAATAATGATAATAATGATAATATTAATCGGAAAATAATAATAATGATAATAATGACAATATTAATTGGAAAATAATAAAAATGATAATATTAATTGGAAAATAATAATAATGATAATAATGATAATATTAATAGGAAAATAATAATAACGATAATATTAATAGGAAAATAATAATAATGATAATAATGATAATATTAATCGGAAAATAATAATAACGATAATATTAATAGGAAAAAATAACTTAAAAAATCATGGATGGAGATGAAATCTGAACAGATCCTTGCATGGCAAGCAGACAGAGATTGGGAATTTTTAAACTGATTCCCGTTTTTGAGGGGGAAAGGGAAGGGAAGGAAAAAGGAAAGGAAAGGAAAGGAAAGGAAAGGAAAGGAAAGGAAAGGAAAGGAAAGGAAAGGAAAGGAAAGGAAAAAGGGAAAAGGGAAAAGGAAAGGGAAAAGGAAAGGGAAAAGGAAAGGAAAAAGGAACGGAAAGGAAAAAGGAAAGGAAAAAGGAACGGAAAGGAAAAAGGAAAGGAAAAAGGAAAGGAAAAAGGAAAGGAAAAAGGAAAGGAAAAAGGAAAAAGGAAAAAGGAAAAAGGAAAAAGGAAAGGAAAGCTCGGCTGGGCACAGAACAAAGGCTGCCATTTCCATTTCCATTTCCATTCCAGCAGGGAAAATTCCCCGCGCGGCTCTTTCAGGTTCTATTTTAGCTCCTCTGTCCCCAGGGGTGCAAGGGCTGCCCTGATTTCGCCTCCTGCTCTTCCCCACAGCTGCTCGCAGGGATTTTTATGGCAATCACGTTTCCAACAGCCTGGTGTGCTGCGTTTAACCCTTGTGGGGAAAGGAGAGGAGATGTCCCCAAAGCAGGACAGCTCCAAAGGGACATTGCATGCCCAGGATGTCACTGCCACCCTGGGTCTGCAGGGAGCTCGGGGATGGGCGGTGAAGAGTTTGGCATCGCTTGTTTCTACTCCCTCCCAACATCATAATTACCATAGTTATCAGCATATTTACTATAACCATCGCGTTTTATTTCAATTATTAAATGGTTTTCTCACAGGTTTTCAATTATTAAACGGTTCTCTCACTGCCACCCTGGAATCTGGAAGGGGCTCGGGGATGGGCGGTGAAGAATTTGGCATCTCTTGCTTCTACTCCCTCCCAACATCACAATTATCATAATTATCAGCATATTTACTATGACCATCACGTTTTATTTCAATTATTAAACGGTTCTCTCACTGCCACCCTGGATCTGCAGGGAGCTCGGGGGTGAAGAGTTTGGCATCGCTTGTTTCTCCATCCGAACATCATAATTACCATAATTAGCAGCGTATTTACTATGACCATCACGTTTTATTTCAATTATGAAACGGTTTTCTCACAGGTTTTCAATTATTAAATGGTTCTCTCACTGCCACCCTGGGTCTGCAGGGAGCTCGGGGATGGGCGGTGAAGAATTTGGCATCTCTTGCTTCTACTCCCTCCCAACATCACAATTATCATAATTAGCAGCATATTTACTATGACCATCGCGTTTTATTTCAATTATTAAACGGTTCTCTCACTGCCACCCTGGAATCTGGAAGGGGCTTGGAGATGGGTGGTGAAGAATTTGGCATCAATGGTTCTACTCCCTCCCCACATCACAATTATCATAATTATCAGCGTATTTACTATTACCATCACGTTTTATTTCAATTATGAAACGGTTTTCTCACAGGTTTTCAATTATTAAACGGTTCTCTCACTGCCACCCTGGAATCTGCAAGGGGCTCAGGGATGGGTGGTGAAGAGTTTGGCATCAATGCTTCTACTCCCTCCCCACATCATAATTATCATAATTATCATCATATTTACTATTACCATCACGTTTTATTTCAATTATTAAATGCTTCTCTCACGGATTTTCATTAAACGGTTCTCTCACTGCCACCCTGGATCTGATGATCACCCATCATCTGGGGTGATGAAGAATTGGGCATCGCTTCTTTCTACTCCCTGCCGACATCACAATTATTATTTATATATTATTTAACCATTACCATCACGTTTTATTTCAATTATCAAACGCTTCTCCCAAGGGTTTCGATCCTCTTCATTCTGCCTGAGGCCACACCACAAGCGCTAACACAATATAATACAGCAAAACCAGCAATAAAACACATGCAAAACTCGCGGCTCTGCGGATTAAGCTGCGATTACACAGGGAAATATCTCATTTTAACTAGGAAATATCTCATTTTAACAAGGAAATAGCGCATTTTAACAAGGAAATAGCTCATTTTAACTGGAAATATTTGATTTTAACAGGGAAATATCTCATTTTAACAGGGAAATAGCTCATTTAACCCCGGAGCCAGAACGGCCATGGGGCCCCGCCGCCCCGCCCGTGCCCGGTGCCGGTACCTGCGGTCAGCAGCTGCATGGCGTGCGTGAAGGACGGGTCCAGGCTGTCCTTCTCAGCCATCAGCTCGGGCAGATATTTGTTCTCGGGCTCCATCTTACCGGCGCCTGCGGCCCCACCGGGCGGCGGCTGCGCTCCGCTGGCGGCCCCGCGGGCCCCTCCGCCACGGGGCGCTCGGCGCGGCGGCGGCGCGCGGCCACCGGGGCCCTGTCCCCGCGATAAGCGACCGGCGGGGTCGTCGCGACGCTGCATGAGGCGGTGGCGGGGAGGGGAAGCGGCGGCCGGGCCGGGCCGGGCCGGGCCGGGGACGGCGGCGGCGGCGGGAGCGCAGCGGCCACACCGCCCGCGCAGCGCCCGGGCCGGAAGTGCCGCGCCGGAAGCTCCGCCCCCTCCCGGTGTCGGTGTCTCTGTGTGTGTGAGGGGGAGCCGCGGCGGGAGCGCCCCGCGCATGCGCCGCGTGCCCCCGCGGGAATGGCGCGGAGCCGGGAGCGGCGGCGTGAGGGGAGCTGTGGGGGATGGAGGCAGGGAATCGTGGATGTGGGGAGAGAATAATTCATCCAGTCCAAGCGGCTCTGCTGTTGGAATCCCTCAACCGCGCCTCTAAACGCGGGGACTCCATCGCCTCCCCAAGCAGCCCCTCCCAATGTGTAGCCGCCCAGGGGGCGAAAAATCTTAATATCTGCTGTGAATCTGCTCTGTTTCCGCTTGAGGCCGTTTCCTCTCACTCTTCACATAGTGGAAGACCGGCCTCACCTCACCACAAGCTCCTGGCATTTTGTGCCTGGTTTTGTACGTGGTTTTGGCAGGTGCTTGTGGAGAGCAATGAGGTTCCCCTTAAGCCTCCTCTTAAGACTAAACCTAGCTCCCCCAGCCGCTCCTCACAAGGCATTTTCTTCGATCTTTCACGAACCTTTGAGGAGCCTAAGACTGTACTAAGGACAGTTACTATCTTTATACTTATTATTATCTTTATCCATAAAATTAAAGTTGTGAGAGAACCGATGATTGCATGGGGAGGGCGGGCGGGATTCGAACCCGCGGTCCCACGCAAACCGCCGACCGCAGGGTTCGAACCGGCGGCTCTGCCCGCACTGCGCCCCGGCCGTGCCGCGCATGCGCGCTCCGCATTCCCGCCAGGCGGCGGCGCTGAGGGGCGGAAAGTGGCTGAGGGGGAACCGGGACCGGCACCGGGCCATGGGGACCGAGATTTGGCCTGCCCGGGGCACAGCGCTGCCCTGAGATACAGGGGTAGTGCTGCTGTGAGGGCTCAGCGTGTTCCCTCGGTCTCCAGATCCCAGTTCCCAGTTCCGGTCCCGGTTCCCAGATCCCGGTCCCGCCACGGGCTCAGGGAAGCGGAAGCCGTGGGAACCCCCCGGGCGGACCTAACCACTGACGGCAGTGGGGAGGAGCGGGCTGTACCACTGCACTGGCGGGGGGGGGAGGGGGGGGTGCTGGCGTGGAAGGCTCCGTGTGCACGTGCGGCCAGACGGCCGGTCCAAGTGCGCGGGGGCTGCGGGGGGGTCCGGGATGTACCAAGGGTGACTGGGGGACTGTCGGGGCCTCCGGGCTATACCAAATCCCAAGGGGGGGGAGAGGCCTGTACCATGGGTTATAAGGAGGGGTTGCTATAAAAGCAGCGGGATGGAAGGATGCGTGGAGAGGGGGCACCTCCTGCTAGAACTGGTTGCTCAAGGTATTATCTAACCTGGCTGCGAACAATTCCAGGCTCGGGGCATTCCACGCCCTGTGCCAGTGCCTCGCCACGCTCACAGAGAGGAACTTCCTCCCAATACCTAATCTCTATTGTTGCCTGTCTTATCACTGCAGCTCGTGACGAAGGATTTCCCTGGAGGCCCCTCCAGACACTGCAAAGCGCTGCGAGTTCCTCACGCAGCCCTCCATTCTCACTTCCCCACCCCTCTTTCCACGCCTGGAATGGACGCGCCCAGCGCGCTGCCCCGGGGCGTGCGGGGGCGGACCGTACCACTGTGGCGGCCGTGGGTGTGAGGGGCGGGCCGTACCACGGCGCGGCGGGCGGGAGGGGGGGGCGCGGCCTGTGCGCGAGGAGCCGTGTGGCGGCGCGCGGGCTCTCGGTGTCTCCGGCCGGACCGGGCCCAGCGCAGCCCCAGCCCCGTCACGGGCCCCGCCGCCCGCCCGCGACCCTGCCCGACCCCGCCCGGCCCCCGGCCCGCTCAATGCCCACGGTGAGGCGGCAGCCCAGGCGCTTCGGGGGGATCGGGGCAGGCCGGAGGCCCCGGGGAGCGGGGAGGGGAATCCCGGGTGTGTTTGGAGGGGATTCCCCGCTCTGAGGGGGCCTCGCTGGCCTGGAGAGTCTCCTCAAGGCCTTGCGGGTGCTTTGGAGGGGTTTTGTGCTCTGGGGAGGGTTTTAGGGCTGCGGGAGGCTGAGGCGTTGGTTTGGGGTGGGCTTGAGGCTCCCTGAGGGCTCCAGGGCTCCTTTGGAGGGGGATTTGGGGCTCCACAAAGCTTGAGGGTGCAGGAGGCTCCCTCACGGGGGATTTGGAGGGGGATTTGGGGCCTCACGAGGCTCTGCCTGGGACTCGGGGACTCCTTCCTGTTATGGAGGAAATTCCCGGCCTGTGGGGTTTGTCTGGGGGGCTTTGAGGGTTCCCTGTGTGCCAGGAGGGGATTTGGGGGCAGCTCAGACCTTGGGGTCCCTCCTGAGCTTTGGGGGCAGCTCAGACCTGTGGGGTCCCTCCTGAGCTTTGGGGGTTCAGAGGTTGGGGACCTTGTCCCTGACCTGCAGTTTTGGGGGTCCCATTTCCCTGCAGGGTTGTTTTAGGGGGTCCCCCCTCACCTGTGGGGTTTGGGGGGCTCAGTGCCCACCCCCAGCGTTGTGGGGGTCCCCAAGTCCCCCTCTTGCAGCCGGTTTTGGGGGGATGATCAGGAAAGGGGGCATTTCCTGGGGGGATTGAAACAGGGAGGCTGCAGGAGGGTTGGATTTGGGGTTTGTACCTGGTTTTGGGGGGAATTTGTGCCTAGTTTTGAGGGGGGTCCACCTGGTTTTGGGGGGACTTTGTACCTGGTTTTTGAGGGGGTTGTACCTGACGTTGGGGGGAATTTGTGCCTGGTTTTGGGGGGAGTTTGTACCTGGTTTTAGAGGGGGTTACACCTGGTTTTGGGGGGAATTTATACGTGATTTTAGAGGGGTTTGCACCTGGTTTTGGGGGGACTTTGCACCTGGTTTTAGAGGGGGTTGCATCTGGTTTTGGGGGGAATTTGTACCTGATTTTTGACGGGGTTGTACCTGACTTTTGGGGGAATTTGCACCTGGTTTTTGAAGGGGCTGCACCTGGTTTTGGGGGCAATTTTTACCTGGTTTGGGGGGTAATTTATGCCTGGTTTTGGGGGAATTTCTGCCTAGCTTTGAGGGGGTTCCACTTGGCTTTGGGGATAATTCATGCCTGATTTTGGGGGGAATTTGTGCCTGGTTTGGGGGGCATTTTATCTGATTTTTATTTTATTTTTACCTGATGTTGGGGGACATTTTGATCAGTATTTTGAGGAGAGTGCTATTACTGACTCCTGTGTGCATGAGGAACAAATTTGATCAAACCTGGGGGATTTTTTAGGGGTGAGAAAGGGAAACCTCGAGCTGATCCATAAAGCATTAAGGGATTTTTTAATGTGTGTTTAAGGCTGGAAAAAGCCGGGGCTGCCATTTCTGAGGCTGCAGAGGGGGCAGGAAAGGAAAAGGTGTCCAGGATGTGCTGGTTTTGCTGGGTAAAAAGGGGGTGCCCTGTGGGATTTGGGGGTGAGGAGGGGCTGGGATTTGGGGGTTTGGGGGCTTTGGGAAGTGCTGGAAGTGGTTCCTGGCTCTGATTCGTCACCATTTTCTGCATTTTCTCCCGGGGCACTCTGTGTGTGCTCTCTGCTGGTTTCGGGGTGAGGAGGAGGAGGAAGATGAGGAGGAGGAGGAAGGCAGAAATTTGGCTTTGCAAAGCTCCTGTAGAAATGGAAACTGGCCTCGAAACTCCCCGAATGAAGCAGGCAGGGGCTGACTCAGAGCTGCAGTTAGGATTTGAAGGAGAAGGAAAAAAAAAAATTAAATTAAAAAAAATAAATAAATAAAGAGAAACCCACCAGTAGCAGCAGCCAGAAAACTCTGTCTCCTTGTGACTCAACTTGGATTTCATCAACTCAGCTGGAGGGAAGGTAGGAGTGAGGAATGTGGGTCTGGTTGTGATTTTTAATTAAAAATAAAACAAAAAAAAAACCTAAAAAAACCCCCAAAGTGATGAAGTTCAGAGAGGTGAATTCCCTGCAGAGATCAGAGATCCATCCTCCTCTTCCTCAGTGCAGGGCAGAGCTCAGGGTGCTCCTGGCTGCACTTTGTCCCCTCTGCAATTGCAGGGCCAGCAGGGAACTTTGGGGTGAGAGGGAATTTCCAGGATGAGAGGGAATTTCAGGGTTAGAGGGAATTCCAGGGTGAGAGGGAATTCCAGGATGAATTTTCAGGGTGAGAGGGAATTTCTGGGTGAGAGGGAATTTTCCAGGGTTAGAGGGAATTTCAGAATGAGAGGGAATTTTCAGGATGAATTTTCAGGATGAGAGGGAATTTCGGGGTGAGAGGGAATTTCAGGATGAGAGGGAATTTTCCAGGGTTAGAGGGAATTTTCAGGATGAGAGGGAATTCCGGGGTTAGAGGGAATTTTGGGGTGAGAGGGAATTCTAGAATGAGAAGGAATTCCAGGGTGAGAGGTAATTTCAGGATGAATTTTCAGGATGAGAGGGAATTTTCAGGTTGAGAGGGAATTTCAGAATGAGAGGGAATTCCGGGGTGAGGGGGAATTTTCAGGATGAGAAGGAATTCCAGGATGAGAGGGAATTTTGTGATGAGAGGGAATTTTCAGGATGAATTTTCAGGATGAGAGGGAATTTTCAGGATGAATTCTCAGGGTGAGAGGGAATTTTCCAGGGTTAGAGGGAATTTCAGGGTGAGAGGGAATTTTGGGATGAGAGAGAAGCCACCCCATCCTGGTCTCCCTTTTCCTTTCCTGCCCCCTCCACCCTGAGAAATGTCACCCCTCAGTCCTGAACATTTTTCCAGCCCTAAACACAAAAATAAACAAAAATAAACAAAAATAAACAAAAATAAACAAAAATAAACCCTTCACCCTTCACAGCCACCTCGAGGTTTCCATTTCCCACCCCAAGAACACTGACAGAAGTTTGGATGTGAGAAAGAATTCCCAGTGAGGTGATGAGGGGTGGATTAATTCCCAACTCCACTG